TATTTAATAAAAATATCTCAGTGAATAAGAGGTCCAGAGATATATAACTAGGCCGCCTAAGTGTAAAATTATGTTAGAAACAACTTTACTTAGGTGTCCAAGAATAGTTTACTTAATAAAATATTGAATAATAGTCAAATATTTGCAGCAGGATTTGGTACAAGTGATCATCAGAAAGAGTTAATAATTTGTGTCTCAGATTTTAAGATATTAAGTTATAAAAAATGTTATTAATTAAGAAATTAAGTAAATTTTTAGTAAAAAGAATTTTAAGTGTTATTAAGACAGATAGATTATTGATTTAATAATAATAGGTGCTAAGATATAATTGTATTAAAAGAGCTAATAAATTTATTGATATTAGATAGCTTAAGATGTGATTATGTTTAGTAAATAGTATTATTCTAAATAAGATTAGAGAGTTTATTAAACTAGATAGTTTTATATATAAATTTTTAGTTTGTATATATATGTTATTTCAAGATAGAAGATATAAATTATTAGATATTGTAAGTTGTTTAATAAAAAGTATTTTATTATTATAAAAACTATTAGTTAGAAAAAAATAGAAATGGATATAGTAACCTAGTGAAATAGATAGATGGTCAACCCTTAAGTAGAAAATCTAAGGTTCAATTTCTACAGATGATAAATGAATTTTAAAATTAATGCTATATTATGATAACTGTCTCTTGTCAATTAATTGGGTTTTAGGCATCTGTAATCTTAGGCACATCAAGTCAGACCCCACCTGACATTGGAAGCTTAGAGTATCTATATAAAATATAAATTTACACATATATAGAGATATGTAAAAAACTGATATCATATAAGGCTTTATTGCAAACTTGTAATAAAACTACTGGATGTAGAAGGCTAAGAAACTGAGAAGATAGAAATCTACTTTGAAATCCTAAGTAAAGAAATAGCACAAACTTTAATAGTACTATTGGACTGATGAAAGCTCATAAAATGCCTTCATAAGAACTGTTAGATAAATCAGATAACAAGATATGCAAAGAAGCATATGACTAACCAAGCTATCAAATTTACCAAAGAAAAAGAATACATAGGTATATCATACTGGGCCATCTGAATTACAAGTCTGAGAAGTTGGTTAGTTCTAAGTTGTGGCTAGTAGAGAATAATAAAGAAGAAGTTGAAAAAAATAAGTACTAGAGTTTGGATAAACTTTGCAAAAATAATAGCAGTTTAATAGATACTCCAAACTGCAAGTGTTGATCTCAGTCATAGTATTAAACCAGGTTAGCATTAAAAGAGAATACAGCTCACTCTGGTAGATTTATCTTGAAGATAAAAATAGTCTAAAGATTATAGTTATATAGTTAAAAGTGAATAGATCTTGGTCTGTGATCTGGTAAAATTAATACTAGGGTCAGATCAGAGGGTTTAAATAGAACATCTAAACAGAGATGTTAGATATAGCAACTGATAAGAAACCTCTAGATAGATTCCTTAAATAGGTAATATTGTAAAGTTACATGTATAGCTAGTTGTACACTTATTTAATAATTCAATATAAATATATCTATATAAAATATGTATCCAATATAAATATTAATAAAAAGCTAGAACTAAAGAGATTACCTTAATATCAAAAAAAAAAAAATAGATAGGTATGACAACCTAGTGAAATAGTTAGGTTGCCAACCTTTCAAGTAGTAGTTTGGGTATTCAAATCTTACCAATAGTAAAAATTTAGATAATTATCTATATAATATTTATATTATAGCAATTGTTATTAATAATTAGATTAGGATACCTATAATAATGGTCACACATTAATATTTTTAAGTAACAACACTTACAACTCTGTCTATACTCTATTTATTAACCAATTTCCTATTAAGATTCCTATTCGATGCTCTATCTGTACTATCTTTCAAACTCATATTATAACATTTTGAATATTCCAACATTATTTTTAGCAATGGTTTACTATTGCATCCAATATTAACTAAAAGCCACTTGGCTTTACATTAATAATAATTAAAAATTTTCTAATTTTCTTCATAGCTTTCTTTTTTCTACTTTAAAAACCTTTCATATTAAAATTCTTATAAATAAATTATCTGTTTCTTACACTCTTCACAAATGTAATTTTTCTTACTTTTCTCTTTATCATAAATGCAATCAAACTAGTTCTTTATTACACTGAACTTTTTGTCCTTCTACTCAAACTATTTACTATTTAATCTCTAATTCTCTTAATTGTATCTTAAATGCAACTGCTCTTAATATGTCTACTAATCTTGTTTCTAATTTACATCAAAAAATTCTTACATTTAACAGTTTTAAACTGCACAACTTTTTCATATACTATTGCTTATTTTTACTTTATTTGACTTAGTTTCTATTGACTTTATTTCTATCATTTATAATACTTCTATTCTTTATCATATAGCTACTTCTCTTTTTATTAAATTTTTGCTTTATTTAAATCAACAAATATATAAACAAATATGAATCCCATATTGTATTTTATATTTAGCATAATCTAAAATTACATCTTCTAGAAACTTAACTTATAATTATCTTTCTAGTTTACTACTACTGGTTTTGTTATCAATCTTAGTACCTTACAATGTTCTATAGACATAGATTGGGTTCAAGTTGATAACTCTACAACTATTAACTTATTTAAAGCACAAGTTAAACTGTAGCCATGCTTCTTCAAAGCTAAAATTCTTGCTATTCTCTTAGCAATTATTACTGTTCCTAGACATTGCTTTGTTTACATATTTATTAACTCACAATTAGTAATTTTCAAATATTAAAACATTTGCCAATCAGCATCTACTTTTTTTCATATTCATACTTAATATTTCTATATCTGGCAAATACTTATCAACTTTTTTAATTTTTATAAAATTTAGCTTACTTTTCATGAAGTTACTGCATACCAAGATGACCTATTGAATATACTAGACTAGTCATAGCAGAAAATGTTATGATCACATGATCGACAATCAGTTTCTGACCTGGCCTATCATTGATCAACTCAGATTTGTGTCATGATAACTTTATATAGCAACTAATATCAATATTTGTAAGCAACAAAATTTTAATAATATATATGTATACATTCAATAAGTTCTTATAAATTTTATGCAACTAGCTTTATAGAAAGTATAAATAAATTTATATTATTTAAATAAATAAATTATAAATAATGTTTATACAAAGTTATGAGTACATTATTAAAATATATATATTCTGAATATATATATGCATTTATAAAGACTGTTAGCAATGCAAATGTTATTATATGTACATTCATGTTTTTTAGTTATTTTATAAGTTCAAACTCTTATATTAAAAGCAATCTTTGTGCAATATTACTCTAGAACATATTTATGTTATGAAGTAAATTGCAGCAGTACTAGAATTTTTTTATTTTATTATTTAAAACTGCATTTGTAATTTATAAAACTCAAGCATTGAATCAATTGCCACACTATATATCACAACCAAAATCCAATAATAATTGATAAATAAAAGATATCAAAGTAATGCATATGGCTAAATAGAATGCTACAATAATATATTTATAGCAAGGTGTTGCTAAAGTAAATTGTGGCAGTACTAGAATTTCTACTAAATATAATTTTTTATTTTTTTAATTTGAGACTGCAATTTAATTTATAAAACTCAAGCATTTAATCGATTACATATTACAACCAAAATATTATAGTAATTAACAAATAAAAGATGTCAAAGAAATGCATATAGCTAAGTAGAACACTGTGATACTATATTTGTGGCAAGGTATTGCTGAAGTTCATATAGACATAATACTGTATAAATATAATCATTCATGACTATTTTATATTTCAGTTTTGCTCAAAAATATGATATAATATGAGCATTGTATGTTCATGATAATTGAAAATAATTAACAAAAAAATTGCTGAATTGTGGCATAGCATTGCCACTATGTAATGTGACATTTTTATACTATAGTTAATAATTTTTGCTGTCAACTAATAATCAAAACATTAGCATTTAAATATGTGTAATAATTATTCATGGCACTTGAACACCTTTATTAAGTAAAATTGGAGATATAAATACTAAGGAAGAATTCCAATCCTTTATTAGTATATGTTTTGCTTTTCTAACAATTATAGTATTATTATAGTATATTAGTAATCTTAGAATTGCAATATTCATAACTATAAAAATAAATATATTAAAATAAATACAAATAAAATAAACTAGAAAATGGACCTCAAAACATTATTGTCAATGCTGAAGAAAGCAAATATTGTTTCTATTATAAAAAAACTAAACCAGTTATTGAATTTACAAAGCAGTCAGGAGTAAGACAGTAATATTTGCCAAATGTAATCTTTGCAATGAACAAGATAGAAAAGTAGACAAAATGCTAGAGCTGTTGTTGCTGAAAGTACTTTGTCTTTAGCCCAAAGTAGGCAAAATGCCAGAGCTGTTATTGCTAAAAATACTTTGCCATTGATCCTAAATTATGATAAAAGTAATAAAACTGGAATTGATAATAAAAATAATGAAGATGAATTTTTTTATGATTTTGGTGATCTTGAAGAACTCATGTTTGTTAATTTCAAAGATAGTAAAAAAAAAATAATCATATTATATTTTCTATAAAAGTAAAAATCAAAAGGAAATTAGTTAATAAGAATATATTATTGCCTGAATTTGATTAAAATAAAGAAGCTGAAAAATTTTGTAAAATTATTAATATCATGATTGTGTTTTTTCAAACAGGATCAGGGTATTATTGAAAGCTTCGATACTTGTATGTCAAAAAAATAGGCAATATATAAGATATGCAACAGCCCACCTAGGTTGTACACAAAAGCTTGAACATAAGTATAAAAACCAGATAAACAATCTGTAAAGCAGATAAGTGAAATGCATCCTGCTATTGAATGCTATTTATGCTATAGCATTATAACAAGCAAAATAAACCTATATAAGCAGTATGCTAAAATATCAATAAAGCATTTAATCAATTATAAGCATCTTACATATAAAGAACCAAATTTACTAGAAAGTGCTATAGCTTAGATAAAACAAAACATTAATCATAACTCATAAAGAGCTGAGTTTTATAAAAGACTTTGCAATGAAAATCTAATTGACCCATTAATACATATCTATCAACAAGTTTATTATTAGGCACACAAGCTTTTAGCAAAACTATATATATCTGATATAAGCAATCAAGTAAAGTTAGCAAAAAATTTCTTAGAACAAAAAGAGCTAGAAAGTGCAGGGTATATAGTTATTCAATATCAAGAAAATGATTTTGTATACTTACTTGGATTTACAACCTCATTCCTTTATAACTTAAAAAAGAATTAAATTAGTAAAATCATTATTGATTCAATATTCAAAATGAATCAAGAACAATTTGAACTATTTTCAGTAAACATTAATTGTGATAGATATGGTGTTTCACTTACATATTTATATGTAGATACATATGTGGCATCGAAAGAACTTCTTTTGAATCCCAATAATGTTGTACACATCTAGGTTAATATGCTTAAAGAGTTTTTTGTTAATTTGTGAAGCAAAGTGGTTTTACCATCATTCATACTCTTGGACTAAAACTCCAGTAAAATTTCTGCTATTCAGAATGCATGGTCTTAGACATCAATAATTCAGCTTTGTCCTTGGCACATAGAACATGCAATTGAATGTAAACTAAAGGAAAAAAATTATGTGAAAGTTAGTATTCTGTACAAAAAATGAATAAGACATATCAACAATTTACCTTTATAAATCTAACCTGGCTTCCAGATGGACAACAAAATGCTTTATGCTCTGAAGAATTTATAAACAAAATATTAAAAATAGTCAAAAGACATGCAATATTATATCTACTTATTCTAGTAAATAAAGATATTTTTCTGATAACAGAACAAATCTATTATCAGAGCATTTTAAAACTTACCAATTTTGTAGCAAAAGAATCTCTCTAAGCTATAGGAGTATTTATAAGTGACCTGGTACAACAAGAAGGACTGGACACTGTTTGCCCAAGCATCCTTTTCTAAAGTTATGCTAATAGCCAGAACTACTATAATTACTGAATTATATTAGTGTGTTTTAAAATATAATTACAAGTAAATTGTAACTGACTACATCTTGACTGCCTAACTCAAATTCTTACAAAAGAATTAGTACCTGATATGGAATATACTTGGTGAAGGTACTGCTATAATTATAATCTTCCATCATAGTGAAATTTATTTAAACATAATTGGAAAGCCACTTTAAAAAAAGATATTGATGCAGAAGACAAATATTATACTGATACAAATATCTGGGTTTGTTTATGTTCTGCTTTATTAAAAGCCTCTAACTGATATGTAAGCATCTAATAAATAAATATACAATAGAAAATCTGGCTTTTTTCTTAGATTTTTTGCTACTAAAAGACAACATGATTATCTACTAATTGTATTTGGTGCATTAAACCTTCCAAGAATTAGTTTTAATAATAATCTGTAGAATAATGCTTTTCAAAATAATAGTTCAGAGGTTGAAAGTTCAGAAAGAATGCTTAAAAGTAATATAAAAACTTTTATTTTAGCTCAATATGCAATCATCATAAGCAAAAAAGCAGAACTAATAGAAGATATGAAAGTTTATAAAATGTTAGTAAAATTATGAATAAAAATATTAATAATGACAAACTTTTTGAAGTATACAAGACCTTAAAACAACCACTTGTTATTGAGACAATTACCTGTACTGAAACTTTAAATGCTAAAAAATAGCAACAAACCTGAAGCCTACCAAAAAATAAAAAATTGGCTTTCTGGTTACAGTAATATCTTATCAGGTTAACCATTATATTATTATATCAATATTTAACCAACATCATGCTTTGGAGTCTGAAAAGTTTTTTTTTTCTACTTCAATATTATTAGTTTTATTATTTTTTTATCTGTAGTTGCAAATGCAATAAATGTTTATATTAAAAAAAACAGTAAATATAATTAGAATTTGCACTTTTTAAATAAAGTAATTCTAAAAAGAATTAATTATGTAAAAGATTAATTTTTTTTTGTACTAATTTAAATGTATATCAATGTCTCTTTAATATGAAGAACTGTCATGTTATACATTAATCCTTCATATAATGTAGTCAATCAACAATAAAATTATTTATTTTGTGTTTACTCTAAAATGTATGTTATAGATATAATCTCTTGCTTCATTATTCACACAAGGTGATCAGTTAAACTAAAATTATTTCTGAAGCAGAGTAAAGGAACTTAAGTCCAAACAATATGTAGAGATATTAGATTCTATATAAATTTTAGAAAACCAAAATAAGATAAGAAGTTATTTGCAGATTTCAGTAATATATAATGTGTATTATAAATTTAAGGTTTAAACATAGCACTTAATTTATTGGTATATGACATATTATATATTAAAATTGTTTAATTTATTTTTTTAAATATTAAGATATAAGAAGAACTAATTACTTAAATTTTTGTGATCTATTATATGAGAGAGCAATACTTTACATTACTAATCATGATTTAACTACATTGTATTAACCTAATTCACATTGCTAACTTGCCTTTAAATACTTATTTTACAGAAGTTAATAACTTTTACATTTTTATAAAATATATAGATAAGTATATAATAGTTATACATTTACACTAAAAAATTTTTACTAACAAACTATAAATTAATAGATCTACTAAGCAAATTTAAAAGTTTGTTTACTAATATGAAGTGCCCAACAGATCCTGTTTTTCTAGTTTATATGTAACTTTAAGTTTAATAGATATAATCTCTTACTTAATGTAGTATTATATTATAGTAACACAATTAATGATCAGCCAGGTCAGAAACTGATTCTTGATTATATAATCATAACATTTTTCTGTCATGACTAGTTTAGTATCTATTTAACAACCTTGCTGATCAACTTGCTTATAATTATCAAATATTACTTTACCTAATATTCTTAACTAATAATCCTTACAACCTTAACTATACTTCTTTTATTGATGAATTTTCTATTGAAATTTCTATTTGATGCTTTATTTGAACTATATGCCAAGCCTACATTATAACACTTTGGACATTTTAACATCAATTTTAACAATAGTCTATAATTGTATCTGATATTAACTAGGAAGCTACATTACTTTATATCAACAACAATTAAAAAATTTCTAATTTTGTTTACAGCTTTTATTTATTTACTTTGAAAACTTTTTGAGTTAAAATTCTTACAGATGAACTTTTTGTTATTCATACACTTCAAAAATGTAACTTATTATTTCTTTTCTCCTGTCATCAATACAACCAAACTAGCTTTACCTTTCATTGGGTTATCTACCCATCAACTCAAACAATTTAGCACTTAATTTCTAATTTTCTTAATAGTATTTTAAATACAACTAATCTTGATATGTTTGCCAATCTTGTTTCTAATTTATATACTGAAACTCTTACACTTAACAGTTTTAAACTGCATAACTCTCTACATATACCTTTACTTATTTCTACTCTATTTGGTCTAGTTCCTATTGATCTTATTTTTACTATCCACAATTCTTTTATTTCTTACCATACTATCACTACTCTTTCTATCAAACTTCTTCTTCACTTAAACCAACAAATATACAAACAAATATGGATTTCATACTGTATTTCATATTCTGTACAATCTCAAACTACACTTACTACAAATTTAACTTATAGTTCTTCTTCTAGTCTACTCCTTATCTTAATACTACAAATTATTATTAAACTTGAACTTTGAAGTATTTAATAGATTAAATATTATATACCTTTCTCTTATATTATTACTAATACCCAAATCTAGATGAGCCTTGGCCACTCTTGTAGGTTTAGATTGCAGATTATATGTCTGAGTCTTTATTCTTTATATGTAATTTAAAAACAAGTTTTTTTTTGTAAAAACTTTAATTAAATTTTAATAAAGTTAAAGGCATAGTCTCTATTAATATTTAAAAAAATTTTTTAAAAAATAAAAACATATAGATAAGATTGCTGCTTTAAAACTGAAAAAAAACAAGATTTTCAAAAAGAAAAATGCTATATAGATAATGAAGATTAGAGACTATATTATAACAAAATGCATTTAAATAAAGTTAGTTAAAATAAAAAGTTATTATAAAAATAGATAAAATAATAAAGCTAATAGCCTAATAAAGAAAGATATAACAAGTAAAAAGATAATATAGACTGAAAAAGTCAGTTATAAAAAAATAAAGTACTAACTAAACTAGGAAATTAAATAAACTAACATACTAGCAAAATTGTTATATAAATTAATAATAAATACAAAAATAGAAGCAAAGTAGAAAAAAACAAGAATAATTAAAGACTTAGAACTAAAAGCAGAAGTCACAATTTATGATTAGATATACTTTTAGAAAAGACTGAAAATAACAAAAAATATGCATTGTACAACAAGATAAAGTAATGTCAGAAATGCATTTATAAAGTATATAATAGATAAGCTGTTAATTTTAAAAAAACTTAACAGAAGAAAACCAGATATATATACAACAACAGAGTGTCAAGTATGCCAAGATAAAGTAAAAAAAAATATAAACATATTTGCAGCATATAGAAAACAAAAAATCTGTAAAAAAGAATTCAAAAAATAACTATCACAACTGTCTAAAAGAGTTTAAAAGAAGAAGAAAAGTCTAGGTTCTTTTATATATATTATATATAGTGTTTTTTGAAAAAATAGAAACAAAAAAAATAA